TGCAGAATGTGGTTCAGAAGGAGCAGTGAAGGCTCTGGGTTGGCAGGTGCCCTCGCCACATGAACTGCTCATCCTGTGGGGGAGGGGTGTGCCTGGAGGAGAGACACAGGGGGTCCCTAAACCAGTCAGTTCCCACGTGTGATATGTGAGCCAGAAGCATCAGTGGCACCTGGGAACTCATTAGAAATGCAAGTTCTCAGGCCCCACCCCCAGACATACAGAATCACCAGCTACATTTTAATAATATTACTGAAAACTGTATTTGGACATCATATTTGGGAAGTTTTACAAAGCACAGGACCCAAGGCTCACTCCTAGTTCAAATTCTGCCAACATACTGCTTCCCGGCCACGTGTAACTCTGTGAGGACGTAGGAACAGGCTCTCTTGCCAACATCTAAAAACCTTGGTGACTCAGAGAATATGGGAATCGTACAAGAAAAGCATCAATTCCAAAGCCTCACTAGGAATTTGCAATGAAAACATGGAACTTTTAATAAATGAGTCATGTATTACTTTTTGCATATTTTCTGAGGGGAAAAAAGCCATGGAATAGGGAACTGATGTTTGAACATTTCTTGCATGAATTAAAACATTTCTTTTAATTGGTGGTATTTTCATACCGATTAAAAGGAACGTTATCCTTAGGAGCGTGCAGCTGTGGAGCAAAGATAGTCTGTCCTAGGCGACTGAAAGCATTTAAACATTCAGATCATTATATCACTGTGACTCAGAAATAAGATTCTCAGTAAGATGAACTAGTTATATTGTGGCTGACCTGGTGACTCAGTAGAACGTCTCGGATCCACACAAACTCTGTCAAAATAAAAGAAAATAACTTAACATTTTCTCTTTTTAGCAAACTTTGATTTTTTTTTCCTCTGCCAAAGTACTAAATGCCTTGGAATGACCTACTTTCTTCCCTCTCCCCAACGGCAGGAAACTCAAGGACACATGTCTCTTGAAGACAAACGTAGGAAGGACCCAATTGCTATGTGAAAGGCCCTGAGTTCCTCACCTACCCTGAAGACCCCGTGACAGCTCTGGGGGCAAGTCAGGGGGGTCTCCTTAGTATCTGGAATCAAACTCAAGGGAATTGAAACATCTGAGTCCTTGAACCTAGTCCTGAATCCTCAAGTCACAAAATCATAGATTCTGAGATTCAAGGGATATTTTCAAGTTCATCTAGTCCAAAATTAAATTTATTGACAATGTACAACACACCTGCCAAATGATTAGGAACTGAGTCTACCCAGTAAGAAAATAAAAACTATGGGAAC